GTTAAACTCCTTTCTTAATATCTGTTCATGATGACACTGTGAGGTAAAATTGTAGTTCCTCCTCTTAATTTATTTTCATACCAACAGTTTAAAACAGATTCGACGGAAAACAAACTATGCGTATAACGGAAGATCGAGAGAAAAGATAAATGGCATATTTCTGAGTAGAACAGAGTTTGAATAACAGTTTTGTAGTTTTTCAAAATCTTTATTTCTTGCCACACAAGGCAAGATCCTTCGTGAACGGTCTGAAATTTAAAGCATTGAATCCATACACACAGAGATTAGACCGTTTAGACTTAAACACGACTTGATCAGTCGTGGTTCGATAACCAGGAACGTTGCAAGAAGAATCCAAGGAGGAGCTTCTTCTTTTTCCGACCAAACTCGCTTGACAAGAAGTCGCAAGATTGTCCACTTCGGCACAATCTAAAGAAGTTATGGTTACCTTGTAGATTCCGAACTCGTTAGTGGTTCTGTTTGCAGAGAATGTGACCATCTCTCTTGTTCTTGACGAAGCTGATTTGAATCTGCAGATTATTCTCACTTCCACGCCTGTGTCAAGAAAACCGTTAGAAACAGAGTTTTTGAATACAGAGATCGTCTTTTGTGAGGTATGTTTTTAAATTACCAGACATGAAGTAACTGTGTTTGGAGAAAGTGTTGTTGGAACAGACATCACAGTAAACAAAACCCATTACAGTGATTTCAGCATCTGGTTTTGGTGATGATTGTTTTGGAGAAAAAGAGTTTACTAACAGAAGTTGCAGAAGCATAAACAAGAACATTGTTATCAGTGTCTTCTTCATCTTCTCCACAACAAGTTTCAGGTCTGCTTCTTGTTTATGTAAGAGATACCTTTTTTATAGAGAGAGATTTATGCAGAGGAGTCACATAGCATTGAAGTTGAGGACAATGGAGAGAAAGTGATGGGGGAAACAAAGAGAGGCGCATTTGGAGTGAAGATTATAAATGAGAGGAGAGGAATATAGAAAATTAAAGGCGAAAGCTGAGAAGATAGTGGAGAGACACTGAGTGAGAGTGAAGACTATAAATGAGAGAATTAAGTGGGAGATAGTGAAAAGACAGTGAGAGGTTAGGTAAGAGGACATTTATTGAGATCTCATGCTCTTTGTATCTAAATCCCCAAAAAATGGCTATTTGGTAACTGGAAAGTGAAGAGAAAGACAGGTAATGCCACTTGTGTCTTGTGTTTGGGACCATATGGCTAAAATGTTTGTAACACAAGAACCAAAAATGTGATTTTAAAACCGGTTTATTCCCGGTTTGCGGTTAGTGATGGACCGCTTAGAGGTCTTAAGGTGTACTAAAGATGAACAGAATCATACAAAGATACTACAATTCTTGGAATCAAAACTCTTTATCCTCTATAAAGGATGCTCCAAAACATGAGTTTTTTTTTTTTCATCACAATGCAAGAGAAATAACTTCACTAGAGACTAGCTTTATAACGCCATCGACGAAGCTTTCTTTGAACTTCTGATTAATATGAATCCGAAGCGCGGAAATAGTAATTTATGTTTTCTTTAGGGTCTTTTGGCGAAAAACCACAGAGAAACAAACCTTTCAAAAGAAGCTTTGAAAGTCTTGTTTTGGGACTTCTTGTTGATCTCACATTATGGTACATGAGCAGAAGCTTCTCTGTGGAGCTTCTTCCTCTTTGATTTTCTTCTCTGCAATTAGAAGAGAAGAACAAAACAATGAGATTAAGAGTTTTGTTTATCTTTCAAGAACAAGAATCTACAGAGATTAAAAAAAAAAAAAAACCAGTGTAAAGAACAAGACCTGGTCTCGCTTTTGTTGGAGACGGTTGCACGACAACATGCATTGTAATGACGGATCTAGGGAGATCGTCAAATGGAGCTTTACATTGTGCAACAGTTTTACCATTCTCCAAAATCTTACCAGCATTTATCAACTTAATGTCACTCGCAGACTTTGGAACAATCTTCTTATCTAAACAACAAACACATTCAAAACCCCGAATTCGATTAGTCAATAAGATACAATGGGAACCAAATGAAAGATTTTGTTGAATGCACAAGAGTAAAAATATGAATTTCTGCTAACAGAATCAGAACAATGGTTTCTTTATCTATCAAAGTCACAAGTGAATACACAACGACCACAAGCTCGAGAAAACCATTTAGGAAACTGAAAAAAAAAATGGAAGAATCAAACAAAGAAAACGTACTAAACACCGAATCTAAAGCAATCAAGAGTAGTTTGTATATCATATTTACTAAAGGCTCTGCTCCTCACCTTTAGGCCATTCGGAAACGATTCGCTCCTTGAGCATTGCGACTGTGGCGGTTGGAGAGTACTGAAACGGACCAACATCTGAACCGTCATATAACCGGAATTTAAGTTCCACCAAATCTTCTTCTTCCGGCATTTGATTTCTCCTTTCTCCCAAAACACTCTCTGAAGATTTCAGCTTTTACCCAAATGAGACCTGAAATTATGTGAATTTTTCCCCCAATAATAAGAGATTGTCAAAAAATTTAAGGATTCATCATTGAAACCCCAATTATTGTCAAAATCAAGAAGTTGAACCAAAGAACAAAATAACCAAGACAGCCAACTCAATAACTCCTGTCAATCCTAAAACCGTCGAAGAGAAAATTAATACACAAACAGAGAAATGTTACTCGAACTAGCCAAAATCTTTTAAGTTTGTTGGATTTCTTAATCAGGCAAGATCAGCAGAAACTGAGAGAATTGAAAAATTTTTAGAAAAGGAGAAAGAGCTATTAAACCTT